GGCTGCGTCTTGAACATCTCGCTGTCCTGCGACACCTCTGGCTTGGCAATCTGCGGCGACATGGCTTCAGTGTGTGTCCGAATCAGCGGCAAGGTGGGAGCGTCGGAGAACTCAAATGGCTAACAAATCACCGGCAACCAATCAACCTTTGCCAAACCATGCAGTAATTGCTAGCAATGCCGTGCTGCCAGGTGCTACAGTTTGGGCAAAGACAAGGCTATTATTTCCATGCGATCTGGGGTCTTGTGGTTGATGGTCTCATCGAGTTGGATGTTGCACTTCTGGCGGGGTCAGTTCGGTCGTGAGTGCCGAACCAACCAGAAAATCGAGCTGCGCAGTCGAGCGTTTGGCCGTGGAAGATCTCACCTTCTTCTGGCCATCAACTTCCAGGGCGTTTTCCTGGAACAGCCGACCATGCTGCAATGCTTGGGAAGACGGTTGGGCACATGCATGTTCTGGAAAACATGTCGAATTCATGTGCAGCATCCCGCTGGATCCAGCTGCAAGTGTCGTCCCCCACACCCGCTACAACTTCAGACGCGGTACGCCTGGCGAGCGGTTCTGGGCTCCGGTTGCAATCAGACAAAAGGATTAGGAGCACTCCGTGAAGTCAGAGCAGCCATCAAGATCGGTATCTTCGAATTACCTAGCGCCTAGATATTTGCAAAGACGGTGGAGCCCTGGCAGGCTCTTCTGATCACTTCCTGCTTCTTCCCGGCCACCATTGTCTCCACACTCACGGCCCGCAGGACCTCCTCCACAGAGATCGTGCCCATGGCCGAGCTGCGCCGGCCCGCAAAGGGATAGACGTCGGGGCCTCGCTGGCACTGCGCGTTGAGGTTCACACGGCAAGTGGACAGCGTGCACACGTCCAAAAGCTCGGCCAGATCAGCATCTGGTTGCGTGGCCTCCTGGGAAGTAAAGATTGCGGACTGCTGGCCAAAATGCATCTTCTCAAGCCAGGCGATGGGTTCGTCGATGCTCCCATAGGGTGCAATGGGAATCACCGGCCCGAACTGCTCGGCTTGCCACAGCTCCATCTCATGTGTCACGGGATACACCACGGCAGGGAAGAACAGCGATCGATCCAAGTGCGCGCCACCCTCGTTTAGNNGTGGAGCTCGACGCCAAGGGTGTGATGTTGCACTTGCCAAAGGGCAGGCCTGCAGACAATCCAGAGATGGCGGCGCAGAACTTTTCGTTGAACTTCTCGGCGATGCTCTTGTGCACCATAATGAGCTTGATGGCGGTGCAGCGCTGGCCGTTGTACGAGGTGCTACCAGCCACGCACTCCTTCACTGCCACGTCCAAGTCGGCATCCGGCATCACAATGGCCAGGTTCTTCGCATCCAAGGACAGCAGGTTCTTCAAACGATGTGGCTGCGGATGGGCCTTTACCAAGGCATCGGCTGCCTTCGATGAGCCGATGAATGCGAAGACGTCCACCAGCCCTGTCTCCATGCACGGAGGCATGGTGTCGCGTCCCCGGCCAGAGACAAAATTCACGACGCCTGCTGGGAAGCACTCGGCATAGGCCTCCATGGTGAGGAAATGCGCAAGGCCACCAGTGTTCGGAACCTTCATCACCACAGAATCGCCCATGAGGATGGCTGGGATTAGTGTGGCATACGTCTCGTTGAAGGGGTAGTTGGAAGGGCCCAGGTTCATCATCACCCCGATGGGAGAACGCTTCAGCAAGGCATGCACACCCACGTGGCATGCCATGCCAGAAGAATCGAAGCCCCGTGCTGCCGAGATCAGTGCACCGATGAAGTCCA